TAAAAAGAAAGAAAGAAAGAAAGAAAGATTTTCTAGGTTTTGCTTGCCTCAAATATATTAGCACCATATATATATCGGTAGAACTGAGTACCAAAGGAAGGACAGCAAGATGTTTCTTTTGACTATTTAATATTTTTAAATTAGCATGTATATTAATTGTTAAACCATTATCTTATTTACCGCAGCACAGATGATATTCAGTAAATGTTTGTGCAATATTCAGGTTTTAGGCTGTATGCAAGTGTCTTTTAAGACCATACTTTTTTTTAGTAAATAAATATAAGACGTGTGTATTATCACCAAAATTAACCTAGATTAACCTATTTTCTTGTCATCCAGAATATAAGATGTACATCCTAATCTTGAAGTTCTACAGGTGTATGCATCTACCTTAGCACCTAGCATATCTAAAAATATTTCTCATATTCTTTTGCATGGATACATCTTTGAAAGAAGTTACTTTCCTCTTCTTTTTGCTCAGTCATCTACCTTATAACTGAGATATTGAGTATAGAAAGCTTGTACAGTTTATAACTGCTGCAACTAAAAAACACCCACAAATATCTGCTATAAAATGATATTTTTCTAAGCTTCTTCATTAATTAAAATGATCTTAGGTGTGAACGGGCACTTCATGGTTTTGAAAGCTGTAACAAATGCTTGAAGCTTTTTGTTACTTCTCACCATTATACTTACAAATACTGTCAACAGTTGCGACCTCACTTTATAATCTGTTGATCTAAGCGTTGAAAATCTGTATTCCTAGCACTCACTACAACCTTCAGTCTTCATGACCACATACAAAAAATAGAAATAAAATATATTTGAGACATACTTTTTAAATTTTGTTCAAATATAAGCAACTTTACATACATATTTCAATTTAAAAATGTGCAGTTGCAATGTAAATGATGCAGAGTTATTGCTCTGTTTTCTGCTTTTCTGTACTCACCAATATGTTTAATCCAATATCAAGAAACAAAAACTGTAATGTCTGTATTTATAAGACTTTTTCATTAGAATAGATTTTTCCTCTGAGGTATGTGCAATGGTGAAAGTCATTTCATTGTTCATTTGGAAAATGCAAAAGGTGAAATCCTGAGCTGAGCAGAGTTGCTGAGCCCTGGTCTCTAAGGAGCCTGTGGTTTCTGCATGAATGCCTCAGCTTTTCCTTACCCTTCTAATCCAGATATGTTATTTGTTCTACTTACTTTGTGTGTTTGTAGATATTTTACTGTTTCAGGGAAACTGTTTCCTGCCTATGTTTTAATTAAACCATTCTGTGATAACAGAAAATATTAACAAATATAATTCAAAAGACAAAAAGGTTAGGTTGTTTCTAAATATATTTATTTAAATATTTATTGCACTCTGGTTGCAGCTCCAGAGAAATGCAATTTCACGGGCTTCTTTAGTGTTGCTCTTGGATTAGACCAAAAGAAATTTAACCCAATGTACTTGTTTATATGATAGACTTTTCCCAGACAGTTGCCATAGCTGTGCACTGTATTACAAAGTAGTAGTATAATTTGATGTTATGTTTAGAAAAAGTCTAAATGTTGATTTTTACTAATCTGTGGTTTCCTATTATCTCTTTACATTGCATGTACTGTTCATATTCCTAAATTGAATGACTTTGCACTTCTGTAGTGCTTTGCAGTTTTTTAAAATGCTGTATGAATATTCATTATGGCACAGAGCAGATCAGTGAGGAAGGCAGATAAATATTATTGTCGCTATTTTACAGATGAGGAAGCTGAGGCAATGAGATTAAGTGACTTTCCCATCACATCAAGTCAGGGACAGATCCAGGATTAGCACTCGGGTACTTTCTGGATCCCCCTCTCATGCTTTAAACAGTAGACCACAGTGTTTGTTGGACTCAGCAAGCAACTCATTGCAATAATGGACAATGCCAAGGACTCCTACCTGGTCAGTGTCTCCATAAATTTGTTTGCAGACTGCTCCAGTAGTTCAGTATGGCTTAAACACCAAACTAGCAGATCTGTGCATCGTGTAATATTTCTGACCTTCAAACATATTCAAACAGGGGGAACTGAAGAAGCAGCAGAATTCTGACATGGACATGGGAGGATTATGAAAAAGATTTAGTCTTCATGCCCTGCTTTGATCACACTGAAAGCGGTGGGCAAAACTGCAGTGTAGTCATGGCTTTCATACACTTTGACGATATTAGTGTGAAGGCTGGTGGCTGTTTGATACATGAAAGTTACCCAGAGCATGCATTTAATTTCTCGTGACTCTCTTATAGTTCTTGCCTATACTTTCAGTTTCTTATCACAACATTTAATAATATATTAGTTTTCATGACATCCTAATAGAAAGCAGAGCATTACCAATTGAAGTTATGTTTCTAGTTTCTAGTCATCATCTGAAAGTGGAGAGAATCTGCCACAATTATTACTTATATTTCTATATTTCTTCCATCTAAATGAGATTAGTTGTGCTAAATGACTAGTAAGCCCTTCACTTCCTTATTCCTTCCTACAGGAAGGCAGCACAGGAATCACAGAAATTACTTCTGGACAAAGTGCAATATGACTCTTGTGCTGGTAAATGCAAATGCAGTGGCTTTCATTCTGCTCCCTGGGAAGTGAGAGTGCGCAGTGCAAGGCTTGTTTAATTGGACTTTGCTCAGAGTTTGACAAGTGAATTGGCAACAACACAAAACTCCCAATTAAGCTGTTTTTCCCTGTAATATTAATGGAACAAACCCACTTCTCAGAATGAGGCAAGGCTGAGACTTGCTGTGACATTACAAGAGGAGACAGAGAAGGAAGATATTGCCAGAAGCTGAAAATTGAACACATGGGAAAGGAGAAGTCAAAGTGTATGAGCATATTTTGATAAATATTAATGAATTAGTTTGTATATAGTTTAGTTAGATGATGTGTTAAGCCTTAAACTTCCCTGTAATTTAATATTCTCCCTGTTACAGAAATTCCCCTAAATTTACTTCCATAGTGCCTTTTCAGCAGCAGGAAAATGCTGGTGGCTATGACTTACACTGGAATAGCTCTACTTCTGACATGGCTGTAATACCTGGCCTTTGGCATCCTCTCTATCCATTCACCCATGGTCATTGTGCCAGCCTGACCCACATGCCTAGTTAAGTCTGACTTCTTTAAATAATGGATTAATGTTACCTAATTTGATCAAATTGTTTGTGTGATACACTGTTCTGATGCATCTTAATATATTTTCAGTGAATTCTAAATAATTGAGCAGTTTGAATAGGAAGCCTTTTCTGCACATCAGACTTCAGTTATTTGCTATTATCTACTAGAAAGGTCTAATAAAGACAAATAAAATGCTCATAGTCTCTTTCTTTAGCAGCCTAGATGCTTGGTGCTAAAACATTCCTAGGATTTTTCTATATAAGATAGCTACAGCATGACAGCTATTTTTAAAAAAGAGAGAAGCCTGAAACAAAAAACTTAGATCCAGAATTCATGACATCTAGCTCTAGATGTGAATCTTTTTGCCTAGGGCATCTGCTCTTTAAGGATTTGTTCTTATGTGGTTTAATTTCTTCTTATGTTCTATTGCACTCTATATATAGATGTATATTTAGCGTGTAACTCTGGTATTCAAATCCCTTGCCTCAGACTTTCATTAAGATACCAATTTCATAAATAGAAATCATGCAGTTCTGGTTCTAACGTTCACTTACTAAAACCTTTTCACTGATGAGAAATATGTACTGATATACTAACTGATGGTTTCACAGAATCACAGAATGGGCAGGGTTGGAAGGGACCTCAAGGATAATGAATCTCCAATCCCCCTTCCATAGCAGGGCCACCAACCTCCCCATTTAATACTAGACCAGGCTGCCTAGGGCTCATCCTATCTGGCCTTGAACACCTCTAGGGATGGGGCATCCACAACCTCTCTGGGCAGCCTGTTCCAGCATCTCACCACTCTCATAGTAAAGAAATTCATGTGGAACAAAACAATAAGCCTTCCTGCTTGCCTTTTAATTTTTTTTCTATAGATAACACTTTTTTTCTTCATCATTATTTACAGGAAAACACTCTGGATCATCTTATGAATTATAGGCTTTATTTATTTATTTATTTTAAACTATTGTTGATGTTAGGCTTCTAGCAAAGCCAACTTGTTGTTTTGCACAGCATCCAGTGCCTCGTTGCTGACTTTTTCCCAAAACATTTCTGTACTGAGAGAGTTGTGATACTTTCATATGCCTGAGGTGTCTGAAATGACTACTTTCTTTAGCTCTTTTTAGTTAGAGCACAATGCATGGCATAATATATTTAGAGTGCAGTAGAGAATACATTTAAAATGCATATATGAGCACAGTCAAAATTAGGCATAACATGAGTTCCAGAGGAAGAATAGATTTTTTATTTTATGCTGTTAGTGAATAGTATTTGCCTGCATTGTAACTACAGCTTGATGTAAAAAACTTGCAAAAAACTTTGCAAGTTGTAAGTCTGGCCACTTGTTTTCATAGTATTAATGTTTTCTTTCTCATCGTATTTTCTCTGAATATCACTCTCTGATTTTGCCAAAGTAGAAGGAGTGTTAGTGCTAATAATTTGGGAATTCTCCTTGTAGCTCAGTATATTTCATACTATGTAAACAAAAATACATATACAATCTCTTTCTTCAAGAACACAAGAATAAAGCTACCTCAGCCAGACATTTCTCATTTCTTTCATTGTCCCATTGACTCATATTTTTTGTAGTTCACAGTAACTGCAGTTTACTCATCATCTTGCATGTTTCAGCAGAACAACTTTATGTCAAAATTAGCTGTAATCATACCTCAGTAAAAACTGACACAGAAGGAATAGACTTTAATAATGAAAATGAAGTTCTGAAAAATTTTTGGTTCCTGAGTTGAAAGAGTAAATAAATAAATAGTAAGCATATCCTTGTTTCACAGCAGTCTTCAGTCTTGGTAATAGATTCCTAGTGGGAAGCAGCTTACCTGTCCTTTTTTCTTTTTGCAGAGAAATGATGAAGAAGCTGTTGTGGATAGAGGAGGAACTCGGTCGATCCTCAAAACTCATTTTGAAAAGGAAGATCTAGAAGGTGAGAGATTATTTTTATATGTATTACATTGTCTCTGTCTTCTGAGAGTTCTGAAACTCAATTCTATAACTGTAATTCTGTAAACTTATTGATTGGAGGATTTAAATGTGAATGGAAGAGTAGAATGTTATCAGTTATTTTAAAAAGAGAACTAAGAAGAGAATTTTCTCACTGTAATGTTCAAATACAGTGGTGGAAATTTGTTAGTTTTCACAGTGCTCTATCATCAAGTCCTACAAACAAACATGAATTTAGTAGGTCTTTTTACTCTTACTCTGAAGTTTTCAAAAGCTCAAATGCAAGTAGGACAGATGATTTAGCAGCAGAGGGCTATGGTAAAAAGAATGCCTCCTGTTTTATTATTCTGGTCCATGACACCAGATGGTGGTGGTATGATAGTAGAGGTTGAACCTTCCCACCAGTATTCCTTTACATGTTGTTGCTGTGTGACAGATGGCAGCAGAGGGGCAGTCTGACAAAATGGCATCTGACATGGAAGTGCATATGAAGCAAAGGACTGTAATGGAATTCCTGTACGTGGAAAAAAGTTACACCCATTGACTTTCATTGTTGCTTGCTGAATGTTCATAGACACTGAACAGTGGATGTGAGCACAGTGGGGTCAGTGGGTGGTGCATTTCTGCAATGGTGACAGTGACATGAAAGACAAGCCATGTTCCAGATAGCACGAAGGCTCTTGTTCATGGCTGGCAAAAAATGCATAATGAGTAGTGGTGACTATGTTGAGAAACAGTGTTCTTTACTGAGAATTTGCTCTATCAAATAATGTTACTGTAGTAAGTAGTTACTTGTAGTTTTCTGTGGAAACAAATAGGAGCATTACTTATAGTAGCAACCTATATGTATTTATTGGCTTCTATCCTTACTTTACCAGCCTCTTGTAGTTGACTAGCCACATATCGTGCTGAACAAAACCATTCTGGAGTGTCACAGATCAGACAGATAGATATTTTGCGATTTACAGACTACAGAAATACTGCAGAAATCACATACCTAACGAGCCATCTAAGCACGTAGAAGAAGACAAGTCAGTTTATGATATTGGACAAATAGTTCAGATATTTCTGAACCAGTTATGTTATTCTTGTTACGAGTACTCTTCCACTTCAGTACTGAGATGTGTGACCCCCAAGTCATAATTATTAGATGACAGTGAATTTCTATTGTACGTAGAATATCCCACTTTAGAGGCTGGAACTTGTTGATTTTAGTTATTAGCTTCTGAGACCCATGAACTAGCTAAAAAGAAATGCTAAGATCTGGGGTGTGTTTTTATATTGCACGTCTAAAGAGTTAACTGCCTCCAAAGAGGTCCAAAGAGAGTTATCTCTGTTATCTCTGTTAGCACATGGACCTTAGCTTTCTAAATAGGTTCCCTTGATTAATTCAGTTGATCCTCATGATTTGTTTTCTTTTTTTTTTTTCTCTCTGCCTGTATGAATTTTGCATTCTTTGTTGCACAGTGGCCATATTGGTGGTGATGTCGTGTAAACATCAACATGATAGATGGCAATGCCTTATTCCTTACTGCTTCCCATAGCAGAGCCTCAAAATGCAGGCACAGCTCCAGTTCACACTGTTGAACACTGTTGCTCACAGGGCAAGTCTGAGCATGTGCAAAAGTAGAGTTTCCTGCCTCAGATCTCAATTAGAATATTTTCAGGGTGACTCGTAGAGTGTCTCAAGAGACTGCTGGCATATCAGACCTGTAATGACCATGTTGGACTTAGCCCCACAACTCCCTTTGTGCAGTCTTGCTCTTTGTTTTCAGCAGTCTTCAGACACCTGAATGCATCCTTGGCCAGCTTACAACTGTTGTACCTGATGTTCTTAGGGAAACACCTGATAGAAGAACTGGGGTGATCTGTCTTCCATTCTCCTTGTTAATGAAATACAGGGTTATTGGTGGAGGAGTCTACCCCCAAAAAAGTCCTTTTGCTCAAGCATTTTTACTGATGATCTTTTTAAAAACTGACAGTTTTCTGTAGGACATCTTCAAGATTAGTCACATGGGTAGACTTAAGCCATAAGGGCAGTCAGAATTATTCTGATGTATATTTTAGGTTCTACATGTGACTGTGGAACACAAAATCCCATCTTAAAATTTGCACAAGTATGTTATTTAAAAACTGTATTTAATTACTATTTTCACCCACCATCCTGTATGTAGAGTTGCTCCTTTGAAGTATCTAAAATATTCTTTTAAAAATCTGCTTATGTGTTGTTATTGATAGAAACCAAAACATGACAGTGACTTGCAGTTGCATCCCCCATCCCAGGCCTTCCATCGGTTTAAATTGTTTAAAAATTCTGAAATTGGAGAATAAGTCTGGTTTTCTTCAAAAACAAAATCGCACTGTTTCATAATGTTCTCACAAAATGACTGCTTGATGTAGAATCCTTCTTAATGTGGTTAGCTTTCTCATAATTTTCACGTCCTCTCTGAGATCGGATCCTTGTGTCTTTAAATTCATACTCACTGCATCCAGAAATACCAAGTGACATAAAAAGGTTTGAAGAGACTGTACATTTTAATGATCAGGTTGCTGTTAATAGCATGCCCTCTTGTTTCAGAGCACAGCTAGGCACTTTTCCATTTCAAAATGGTGTATTGTGACTCACAGATGTCACTGTCTTATTCCTACCCAATGTACATTGTAATGTACTTTGCTAAAAATTTACCTTTTTCCTAATTACATAATAGACTTCAGCTATAAAATATGGAATTATACAATCAGATGCTAATTGCTTAGCTTAGTGAAATCATATAATTAGATAATTAATATGTGTTATACAATTAACTCTTTGGAAGATATTTAATTTGTTTAAAACTGTAAGTAGTTAGTTATGGAATATTCTACCAAAGATGAGTTTTGACAGAGTTTATGATTCAACAGCATTGTATCAGAAACTTTTCAAAAACTGCAATTTGATTGAAGAATTAATGAATACTTAAATATGAAATTGAGTTTCATTTTCTTCTACTTAAATTTTAAAATCATAAGTGTTCTGCTATTCTTTAAATTGTGGACTATCAAGTTTAGATGTCAGAAATAAAGTTTTAAATAGGAACTAAAATTTCCAATTGAAATTTCTTGGCCTGACAAATACTTGTATTTGCATATTTTGAGGCAGCCATTGTGCAAATATGTTGGAACTGCATATCATGCTGAAAAAGCATGGAAGTACTGTGGTGAGTAATACTGCCTGATAGAACATTCCTAAGAACTAGAATTTTTTCTTCAGTCTGTCTAGATCAGTGTTTTCGGTCTCTGAGTAGCATGGCAAAAAAACCCCAACAAACAACAACAACAACAAAATAACCAACAACAACAAAAAAACCCAACAAAATAAAACAAGCAAAACAACAACAAAACCCACAACTGGGGACATAGGCAGGAATTGCAGGATTTCCTAAGTGACATGCTGTTCATCTCAACGCCAGTAATGATACATGCAGTATATACTTCAAATTGTATCTTTTACCTTCACCACTGCAGTTCTTCAGAAGTAGGTTATGTGTAGAGTTTCAGCATTCAGATTTTCCACATGAAGGATTTTTCCAAGTAACTCATTTTTATTGAGTTGTCAGCTCAAGATCAGTAACTAATACAGAACATGTAATTTGTCTGATTGTCGCTTTAACAAAGGGTTAAAGGAATAACTCCTACAGGCAAAACGAGAAAAGAAGCCTGTTCCCCTTGGTTATCAATGCGTATTTTGCAACTTATCGTTCAGTGTGTATACATTCAAAGATTCTGCTGCAATAAATACACTCTTATTTTTATCAGTAGTGGAATTTTTAAGTGAGAATTAAACACTGATTCTGAATACTAAAGGATTTCCTTGTAGTAAGAAGGACAGGTTCTACACATAGCTGTACTGGGAGCAGGTAAACATGTTCCCATTAACAGATGGGCACATCAAAAAATAGTTGCTCTCAATTTATTCTTTTTTACTGTCTCTACCTGCTATTGATTCAGTGTTTGTTTAGTAGTAACGATCTTCTGACAGAATGAGTGTGTTTTTCTCAAAAATAAATATTTAGATTGATTTGCATTTGTCTGGAGATCTCATGCACTCGGTTCATCTGCTTAGACCTTTGGACAATAAAGATATGCAAAATAATTGGCCCTAAATGCACTCATATTAAGATCTTTGTTTATGCTCCTCATGTCAGCTGAGAGAGAAAATGACTGTTGTCATCCCTAGGTATGGTCAACTGAATCTTTGTGTCAGGACTGCAGAACTGCTGTGGATATATGTGTAATCTGATTTGAAAAGTAGCTGTGACAGGGAGATGTTTGGAGATGAGGTAGTTTGGTGGATGCCAGGAAAGATTCAGGGATGAATTCTGGCTCTATTGAAGCAAATTGCAAAATGGTACTTGATTCAGAAAATACAGCTTAATCTGTTTATACTTTGTGATTTTTATCTGCCTAAGAAGGATGGGAAATATTTGTCTCATGGGAAATCAAGTTTGCCTTCTTTTGAGTCTCTCAGGACACATAAAACATGTTATCCTATATATGAAGCATGTACATGAGAATATGCACCAAGAACACAGAAATCCCAGAGTATTTCATTCTTTTAAACACAGTTATCTTAGTTATTGTTCCTTTTTTTTTTTTTAAAAAAAAAATTTATTTGTTGTAGTTTGTGGCAGTCAATTAGAAATAGTTTTCATGATTTTTTCATGATGTACAGTTAGGATTTGTACATGAAAAAATCATTGTGATTGAACTCTAATCTTCATATATTATTGAGTGAAAATCAGGGTGGCTCCAAAGCAGATAATGAATTCAGTTTCAGAGACATTTTGTAGAAATAACAGAATAGTGGAAATGTCTGCCACTAACACTATTAACCTGAAAATTAATAGGACCTAGCAGCTCACAGAACTGAGAGGACATTAATCATGCTAACCTGCTAGCCTTGCATCAGCCTTGATCTTGCATAGAAGGAAGTCAGCTACTAAT